CTTCTCGAAATTCCTACAGCTTCGGGATTAGGGATTTAGGGATTTAGGGTTTAGGGTTTAGGGTTTACTTGGACCCTGAAGAGCATACCAGCAAAGGCTTAGGTAAGGAAACCCTAGTCTGGAGCCCTAGAAAAGCATGGGTTATTTGCGGGGTTAGGGCTTAGGGCTTAGGGTTTAGGGTCCAGGTAGGGCTCATGAGTCTGTTACCCTAAGGGTCCAAGTACCTCATAATCATAAATTCCCACATGGTAACCTACACAATGTCAGAAGCCCAAGTACCTAAGCACTGTGTCCTTTGGACCCTTAGAGATATCCTAAATAATAGGTGCCGTATTATAATAAGGAGGCAAAAAAAGGACCATAATTTTGACAACCACCCAGATAGGTTCAGGTTCGTTGGATTTCGGCTTGAGGGCCTGGCAAACGAAGGCGTGCTTCTCGGAGTGCTGCAGTCTTCGGAAGTAGGGCTTAGGGTTTAGGGGTTTAGGGGTTTAGGGGATTAGGGGTTTAGGGGTTTAGGGTTTAGGGATTTAGGGTTGAGGGGTTTACGGTTTGGGGGTTTAGGGGTTTAGGGTTTAGGGTTGAGGGTTTAGGGTGTCAGCCCGAAGCCCTAAGCCCTACCTAGACCCCCAAACTACCAGGCGGTATGCCCTAGATACCCAGGATTCAAGACCTTGAGGCCTTAACGGCTCTATTAATGGGCCCTTAAAGACAGGCGATTGGAGCCTAAAAGGAACACTAGTTTAGAGAACTATCCATATAGGTATATAAGCGTCAAGGTAGATCTTTCGCTACTAGAGGTTTCAAAGACCCAAACAATAGGGCACTAAGTCCCGATACTATACGCTGAACAGATTTTGGGACCTGAAACCCTAAGATTTGGGAACGTGGAACCTCACAAGAAGCCATAGCTGCTTGATGTGCCCAACATCTAAGATTGCTTCACCGTACATCTCAAAACAAAAAGGTCTGTCTTGCAAGCACGCCAGCAAGAGCTCTAAGGTCTAAGCAGATCCTACTGACGCCTGAATGAATTAATTCTGTGAGTATTGGCATTCGACACGTAGGCCGGCTCAAACGTGTATATGCTGATAAGGAAGCACCACAGGTCTCAGCCGCAAGCCGCACGAACACCCCAACCCTTGTGCTGCGCACGTGCAACACCTGAGGCGGCCATAATAGAGATGGAGGATTTAGGGTTTAGGGTTTAGGGTTTAGGGTTTAGGGGATTGTCATGGACTTGAGCTTTGGGTTTGGCTCTCCAGTTACAACCATCCCAACAGTAGGTTTTGCAGAACCAACATGGCACAAAGTCTGAGGACTGGATCCGCAAAAGACATTGAGGCGGGGAGGCAAAGCGAGCATCAGCAACTGTGATCGATGTGTCAGTTCATGGCAACAGAGTAAGAATGCACAAATTCACGGAGATGGCAACAGCTATCATAAGAAGGAACACAAGCTAAAGTCATAGTCATAGCTGGCATACTTGGTTCTGAAACAGGGATCCTTACACCCCGAACAAAACTTGAAACAACACACACTCACGGACAAAACTTAAAACCAAAAACACAACAAACAAGCAAACACACACACACACACGCGCGCGCGCAAACATCAAACAACAGACTATCATGCCAAGCGTCCAGTTGTCCTCGGTGAAGTCCTTGATGCCGAAGTTCATACTCCAAAGGCTGGGCAGGGATGCGCTGCAGCAGAAGGAGATCTGGCCGTCCTGATGATACGAGCTTTGAACTTGCTGTGACACGTTTTGTGGATTCGGCGCTTAGAGGTTAAGTTCACGGGATTCTACATCTAGTTGCTTTTGGGGTCTGAGGCTTAAGGCTGCGGGTTGTGGGTACTTGGCCTTGATGCTTCTTAGCTTAATGCCCCTCCCGAAGAACATGATCTAGGGGCCTGAATACTTAGAATAGTTGCGGGCTCCATTACTCCATGTTTATGATTGGAACTGCAAGGGGGTACTGATACCTTTCTTCATGCCAGATATTCCGACCCCTTAACTACCCATAGGCCCCATAGTAGTCCCTTTTTGGGGCTACCTTATAGGATTCTATATGTGAACCCCAAAACGAACTACTTTGGGGCCTATGGGCAAAAGTCGTACTCCACTCAACCCACCCTACACCCTAACCCTAAACCCCTAAACCCCTAAACCTCTAACCCTAAACCCTAAACCCCAAACCCTACTCCCCTGAACCCTCCGCGCACAGAACGCTCCTGTGCCAAGGGGTTCGAAGGCTTGAGGCCACTGCTGTAGAAGCCGCTGGCCTCATACAGGCCGGTCGCCGCCAGGCCTTCAACTCTCTTTGCTTTGGGGTTTAGGGTTTAGGGCCGTTTAGGGTTTAGGATTTATAGGGGTTAAGGATTTGGATAGGGTTTATAAGGTTTAGGATTTAGGATTTAAGGTTTCGAGTTAGGGTTTGAGGTCTAAGATTTAGGGATACTGTGAGGGGGGTATACGCTTTGTTGGAGTTTAGGATTTAAGGGTACTGTAACGGCTTTGGGTTTGGGGCTCGCCGTTTCGGGTTTCGTATTTAGGGATATCATATGGGTTTAGGAAGGCTTATGGTGCAGGGTCTGCGATTCCAGGGCTTGACACTTAGGACTACGATCGAAAGGGTTCTATAAGGGATACACTATGGGTTCTATATGGGGCTATAAGGATTATGACCCGCAAAGTCTACTTCAAAGGGGCCTAGGTTAGCTTGTTCAGAAATAAATCAGGTCTTGGTTTGCTTCGTTGTGTTTAAGGGGTTCTTGTCCGAGAATGGTTTCGGATTTCGATTTCTGGTGCTATCGGGGGTTTAGGGCTAATGATTTGTTCATGTAGGGTTTAGGGTGGAGTGTCTTTCTGTTGTGGAGGGGTCAGGGTTCCGGGTTTTGGAATCAGGATGTAAGGATGATACATGTTTTGACAAAGCTGTCACAAGGCTTATCGTGATTCTTCCAAAAGCGGGTGCCGTAATTCCTGAACCCAGAACCCTTATCCCGGACTGCTTACATGAGCAACCTAGTGCTTGACGGTTGCTTCCCACCCGTAACTTTACTCCAACGAGTAATCCAACGAGCTTTCCTTGGGGACCACATGACCCTTATAAGTACGGGCCCTATACCCTTATGCTATGAATCCCTATATGGTATATGAACCTGAAAGCCTTTTGGGGTTCATTTCGTCCTTAAGGTTAGGGTCTGTAGATCCTCATTGGGGAACTCGGTTCTTCCTCAGGGAATCTCGCGCTTGCGAAAGCTTCAAGCTGGACAAGAACCCTGCCCAGACCTTACAAAAATCCCTTAATTATGTAATCCTAAACCCTAAACCCTAAACCCTAAACCCTAGTATACCTGCAGTTATGCATGAATCCCTCATATGATTTAAGGTATACTCCTGAGTTAATGGATTTTGGAAGGTCTGGTGTAGAGCCACTTAAGCAAAAGCTCTCTTTACCCTAGATCCCACACCCCAAAGCCTCAACATCGAAACCCTAAGAACCCTAAAGCCTAAACCCTAAACCCTGAACCCTAAACCCTGATCCCTGAACCCTGAACCCTAAACGAGGTCGGAAATCCGTAATTCCCCTTGACTCGGGCGTGTGAACGGGCCTCGTCCGGTCTTGAGGTACTCTTCGAAGGCAGAAGTATCCTGCTAAATGGGAGACATTACACTAGGGGTTTAGGGTTTAGGGTTTAGCATGAGACCGGTATAACATATGGGTAGTTCTCTAAATTAGGGTCCCTTTTGGGGTCCTTTTTATAAGGGTGCCGTACTATGTTGGGGACCCAAAAAGGGACCCTAATTTAGAGAACTGCCCTTATAGCTATCTGAGAGTTTTGATCGATTCAAACGTTTATTAGGACCTTGTCATGGAAGCCCTAACCACTATACGCAAAGTGCGAACCTTAGCACCGCGAGTTCGGCTCTACATAGATCACCCCAAACCTGAACCCTTTTTATCAGGCAGTTATAGGGTCCTGTATGGTTATAGTGTCATCATACGCCTTGAGAGGGGAATAACAACTGGACATTTATGAACAGTATAATTCTTTCGGGTGGGTATTGTGGTATAAAGATACGGAGGGGCTATCACTCAGGGAATACTCGGACCTCAAAACCTCCACCCTGAACCCTAAACCCTAAACCCTAAACCCTGAACCCTAAACCCTAAACCCTAAACCCTAAACCCTGAACCCTGAACCCTAAACCCTAAACCCTGAACCCTTCAACCCGCTCCTCGTGCATGCCGATGCCCTTCAGCAGCTCTCCACCAGACACACCCAGACCGGCGACTGGGACGCAAATGTAGAGGTGGTCCTTCAGGTTCTTGCCGACGCCTGCTTGCATACGTGTTTCAAGGCTTAGGGTTTAGGGTTTAGGGTTTAGGGCGCAGAGTCATGCTTCGGATCTTTCCGTGTCTTTCCGCCGTCCGCAGCCGCGAGGCTTTAAAGTCTATGACGGGCCTGCACATCTCTATCACATCCGGAACCTTGGAGACCACATGACCCTTATAAGTAGGGGCCCTATACACTTATACTATGAATCCCTATATGGTATATGAACCTGAAAACCTTTTGGGGTTCATTTCGTC